AAAGATCTTGCTAGCATCATAGATTCAGTAGTGGTTTGAATTAAAGGTCATGACCTCTTTACAGTGTCCCCAGTGACATCGTAGTCATCAGCTCCATCCTAATTTGCATACATACTACCGGAACTACAAAGTATGTGAGATTATCATGTCCCAAAGTATGAGGATTAGTGCATCTCAAATCAAAGTGTTCCCATTGGAATGAAAAAAATAAAATAAAAATCTTTTAACATCAGTTGTTTCTTCTAGAGAGCAATGAGATTATGTTTATAGCAAATGGAAGTTTCATGGAAAGTTTCTCCTTTAGAGTTTCAGAAGAGATCTCAACTGTGTCTTATGCAAAGACTTGGCAAGAGACCAAAGTCTACATTTACAGGACAGAGATAAACTCAAACATTTCTCATTAACGCTTCTGTTGTGTTCGGGTCATTTTGACCCATGCAGAGAAATTCTTCTTTTTTATTCTTACCCAAAATGTAAGTTAATGTTATCTCATTGGACAAAAACGTACTGACTTTGACTCGAGCAGGGTTACAACTACTTCCCAAAATTATGATCAATCAGTTTAAAAAATAAATACAAAACGTGTCCTAACTGAAACAAAACAAGTTGACCAAAAGATTGAACCCAATATTTGGTGATAATATAGCATAACGAGAGATTTATAAGCTATTTTTTTGTATAGGCTGGTCATTTTTGAGCATTTCGGGAACACCACAAGTGCGACATTTTGTATAAAATAGAAGCATTTAAAATAACCTCTTCCTGGTTAAACATTAAAGCACACTAGTGTGGTAAACCCCCCCCCCCCCCCCCCCCCCCATATTTTGTTGAACATTGACAAAATTATCGAAAAAGAATGTTTTTTTTTTTTACTCAAAAACTGCGGTGCATACACTCTAAAAAATGCTGGGACCCAAATTTGGGTCAAATATGGACAAACCGAAATGTTGGGTTAAAAATGTAATTTCAAATTTTAACCCAACTTCAACTTTCACTTTCAACTGTAAGTTTTTCAATTACATTTTTAACCCAACATTTGGGTTTGTCCATATTTGACCCAAATTTGGGTTGAAACAACCCAGCATTTTTTAGAGTGTAAGCTCATATCAATGAGGCCTACAATCAATCCAAATTCAATATTTGGAGATAATAATATAGCATGACGAGAAATTTACAAGCAATATTTAAAAGGCTGGTTATTTTGACTGGACACATCAAAGGTGTTACAGGGTTTTCATTCAGCCAAAGGGTTAAATTCTTCTAAATGCAAATCTGAACTTCTGTATATATTTATTGTATAGTTCTGTACTGTACAGAATGTCAACAATATCTCTTTAGATAAACTCTTCAAACTCTGAGCAGTAAAAGTTGAATGTTGTATTCCAGAGATGCTCGGATAGAAAAAGTTTGTCTGTTGGAATCATTAATGCATTTTAATGAAAGTAGTTGAATGCTTACGTTCACATGCGTACTGACATACTATAAACTCAAAAGTGTGTACTTTCCCATCGCCAGTGAAGTGCATGCTTTTAGTATGTAGTAGAGGGACAGCCACTCCGCTCTTTCTGCTAATTCTGGGATTCGCATTTAACCAGCAGATTCAGTCAAGCCTTTGTGTTGCTGTGGGTTTCAGAACATGTCACTAGACTTTCTCGGAGGTCTTCATGGGTGGCAGGATTTGATCTCCCGCTCCAGGTTCAGCGCTGAGATCACTAACAAGCCTAGACAGCAGGCGCAGATGAAGCGGTTTAACAAGAACATCCGCGAAACCGTCTCACCTCCTCAGCCTATACGCTTCCTCTTTCTTTTGTCATCCTTTGGTCTCTCTGGGATGTTTCTTCTTCCTTTCTTTCTCTTTATTCTCTCTCTTCTTTCTTTGATCCTCGCCACCTGTATCCATCTGAGTGTGACACAACACTGTGTGTGTTTTAGATCTTGAGTCTCTTTTGATTCAGTAAAGCGTCTTTTACAGATGCAGTTCTGTCAAGAGAAACTTTGTGGTTTTGTCCCCTCACGGTAATTTAAAACTATTAATTATAAATAAGAAATGAAATAAAAAAAAATTTAATACTGTTCCCCCTTAAGTCGCCCATTTTGCATAATATTTTTCTATTATTGAAGCAATTTGGAGTTTCACCTTCATTTGTTTGGGACCTCAGTGATTGATTATATTCAGTTATATGGAAATAAAACACTATATTGTTTGTTACACTTAAATGTGTGAATAAAAGCCTAAATTAAATCTGTTCAGCGTATAAAGCAATCGAGTCTCTTCAGAATATATGTACTAAACCGCTCAAATCATATGGATTAGTTTTACGATCTCTTTATGAATTTTTTGAAGCGTCAAAGTGGTAGTTGCGTAGCTGTCAATGGAGGGACAGAAATCTCTCAGATTTCATTAGGACTGCACAATTAATCGGAATGAAACCGCACGCGATTTGGCAAAGGCTGCGATTATTTTATGCGCAGCTTGTCAGTGCAGTGCGGCTGATCGGTAGTAAATGCTGCTCCATCTGAACACCAGAGGGCGCTCTCACGCAGACACTCCAAATATGCCCCGCCGCAGAAGTACGATAACGCACATCATTCCAGGAAATCCCTACTATGGCCATCATACTATCTGAAGCTGAATAAACAGAAGATTGAAACGCTTTGATTGATTAAACATGACTAATAAACACACGACTGCCTTATTCTGTGTAAGAAGCCACATCATCTCACAGAAGGATGAGCTCAACTGTCGTTATGAAGTGAGTTTGGAGTTAAAGCATGTTGTTAAAGGTGCAAAACGCAAGTCTCTGAGTTTTTGCAGAACTACGCCCCCTCTGGCGACAAGCGAAACTGCAACCAGAGTTGTGCACGCTCATGGACCAATCACGGGAACAATTTACTATTTTTACCGAAAAAGACAATATAGCCAATGCAACGGCGTTCTTCCTTGTTGGTCAATGACATTAACACCTTAGCATGTTAGCAATGGACACAAGGCTAACGTTACCGGTAGGCCATACACAAAAACATAGTTAGCATATTTTATTGGATATGTTTTATGTTTCATGTTGTACTATTCTTCCGAACACAATTCCTAGTTTATGAAACTGTTCACTAACAATGGTAGTAAAATCAATTCTGATTGTACATGTATCTAGCTTACGCTAAAGCATTACACATTTTACGCATCGTCATTTGTTGTCATACATAGATTGGCCGTATCAGACATTAGAGACTGGGCTATATCTTACCGTTTTATCAAGAAAAAAGCCAACTGAGGATCCCGTTTGAGACCAAGAGCAGACCGGAGATCTCTCCATTTGTTGAATGCCTTCCCGAGGTTGACTCTCGTCTTACTCCGACGCCTGTCTGACTCCAATTTGGACCTTTTGGTGGCGCTAGACAAAACTTTTCTTTTCTTTACTTTACGTGGAGTTTGCGTTGGGGTTTGGAATGGACTACAAGCCGGTCTCTTTGAATCCATCTTCTACCTTTGACGCACGAGTTGTCTTCGCTGATGCGGAGAATGGCGGCGCCGGCGAATACACAAACCTGCGAGACATAGCCTGGTGAGATTGAACGCGCATGACGTCACGCCCAGTCTCAAATTCGAGCCCGAATCCCTCTTATATATTTTACTGTACAGGATTATAGAGGCAATCTCAGTGCGCAGAGAAGGGCTCATTCAGCCCATCAGGCAGTTCTTTAAGCATGTATAGGATAGAAAAACAGGTATTTTTAACATGAAAAGTTGCGCAATGCACCTTTAAATGTTGTCTTTTGTTGGACAAGAGGTTCATAAATGCTTCTCATGTTTGGAAATATGAAATATGTTTGCTTTGCAAATATGTCTGAATCTGTCAACGTGTTGCTTTTTCGAATGCACGTTATAAGTGACTCAAACTCACAGCACTTTCAGATGGAGCAGCGTTTACAGAGCCATACATCAAGGACAAGCTGCGCATAAAAAATAATCGCAGCCTTTGCGATTTCATAATCGCGATCAACCAAATCTGTTTAAGTGCGATTTCATGTAAATTGAGATTAATCGTGCAGCCCTAGATTTCATCAAAAAGATCTTCATTTGTTGTCAACGAAAGTCTTACGGGTTTATTATAGGTTAATATTACTAATTCAGTAATTAATAACAGAATTCAAATTTTTTGGTGAACTATCCCTTTAAGCAATTTCACATGAGTAACGACTGCAATATTACACGAGTGCTCTTCATGTCCAAAAATGAAAATCCGTTTTTTTTTTTTTTACGTTTACATTTACTCACCCTAATGTAGTTTCAAACCTGTATGACTTTCTTTCTTTTGCAGAACATAAAAGCTATTTTGAAGCTATGTTTGGTCTGTAAATATAAATAAAAACCTATTCAAAAAATGATGGCCCTTGCAGCCTAAAAGTTTATGCGTAAAAATGTGTTATGTGTTGAATCAGATAAAATATTTCTTTCTAAAGCTACTTTTTATTAATGTCTATTGATGATTTTCTTACACAATAATGACTTTAAATGATCTTTTAAGGGTAATTTCTCAGCCAAATTTGATGTGCAATTAAATTGCAATTAATTAATCGGCACATCATGTAATTATGTATTTTTTTGGTTTTTATAAGTAGCTAATATTTATATAATTAATATATATATATTAACTAGCTAATTCTAAAAACAAAAAAAATCATAATTTGTAAAATATTAATACAAATTTTGAACAAAGAAGCAAGTACAGTGTCTTACATAAACATTTGATCATTAAAGCATAACCAGGAAAAAAAGGGGGATCGATGGTAATGGAAAGGAAAGTGTCGCTGTTTAATTGGTTGATGTGGGCAAGAAAAATCTAATGTTTAATATGCCAGTGTGTGGGTTTGATAAACGTTCTTTTGCAGAGGAAATATTTAGCATGTAATTCTGCATAACTGATATAGTAAGGAATAGTTATTAGAAGACAGTACAATGAAGTGTTAGTAAAACTCTCTGTTTTTCCCCTCTTTATTAGTTTAATTTTGTGGGTAAACTCCTGGGCCCTCGAGGGAACTCATTAAAGAGACTACAAGAGGACACGCTGACCAAGATGTCCATCCTCGGCAAGGGATCCATGAGAGACAAAGAAAAGGTATTCTTTTCCCCCTTATTATCAGTGTTTTTCCTTTGGGCCGTTAATCAGAGTGTACGAGGCAGGAGCTGGCGTTTCTGTCCGGTCTTTCACCGCATCGTCTCATTGTCTCCGCTGTCACGGGTGAGAAGCGCTCTGAACGATCTCGACTGCGTCTGTCGTTTTTCTACGTGCTGCGCCGCTGATTGAATCGATCGATAGTTGCTGATGCCCCCCTCCACACACACACACACCTCACCTGGAAAGAGGGATACAATGTCATAAAGAAATGCTAACCTCAGCATCCTGTCAGAGAGAGAAAGAACACAAGAGACAAAGGGACAGAGATATATTGTCTGACAGGCTTGGGGTTACTGGCAAACAACAGATTAGTTCTTCAAGCATTTCATTCAACTGACTTTGGCTGTTCAAGCAATTCAGAGGCATTCTTCTATTTGAAGTGGTCGTTTTGTTCGATTTAGTGGTTTTCCCCTGATCTCTTTTTATGCAAGCCAAGGTTTCTTAGACCAAAAACAGCCCAGTTCAGGGTTATAATTGTTTTCAAGCTCAATCTACCTGCATAGATACAGTTGGAAAATTGGATTTTCTACTGTCCAAAGTATATATTTTAACCCTGCGGGGTCTGAGGTGTTTTCTGGGCACTGGTGGTGTTTTGACGTGCCCTAACATTTGTGCTTATTTCAATTACTTATAACATTTGCATGGCTTAAAACACTTTAGGGTGTAAACTGCATTTGAAATCTGAATTAAATTAAATAATAAGTACCAGAAACTGTTGGCAGATGATGAAAATCACTGCTTTCACCCCACAGTGATTGGCTGCCGTCCAGCATTTTTTTCGCACTTCTCATTTGCATAAAGCTTTTTCAATCCCACAATCCCCTCACTCCCAGCTCCCATAAAGAATAAAGTTAAAACATACACTACTTTTCAAATAGTTGGTATGATTTTTTTTTGTTATATAAAAAGTATAAGCACAAGACTTTTATGCTCACCACGGCTACATTTATTAGAACAAAAATGCAATAAAACATTCATATTTTGAAAAATTATCATAACTTATAATAACTATTTTCTATATTAATACATTTTAAGTTGTAATGTGTTCCTGTGATGCAAAGCTGCATTTTCAGCATCATTCCTCCAGTCTTCAGAGTCACATGATCCTTCAGAAATCATTCTAATATGCTGACTTGCTGCTCAAGAAAGTATTATTTTGTGTAAGTCTTTCGCACAATACACTTTTAGAACAGGCTGTACTTTTAAGACGGTTCTAAATGACCTATGCTATAATTGGTTAACTTTTTTTATGTGCAAAATGTATTCAAAAGAGTCAGGAAATTCCATGATATGTATCCTTTAAGTGATTGACATTTCCCTCCAGCATATTTCTCACAGATTTGTGTGTGTGTGATGTTGATTTTGGGCCGTTTCTGAATAGCTCGACTGCAGGTGATTTTGATGTGTGCATGTATAAGCGTGCTCGCAATTATATCCCCTGTTCACACAAGCAATCTTCTCCCTTCAGACAGCTGTTACAGAGCTCAGGGTGTTCTGGAAGGTTTTATCTACTAATTGGGCATGTTGTTATTGACTGCTGCTCTCCTCCGGTCCTGTCAGATTTTGGTGAACAAGCTCTCCATGGAGAAAAGCGAGAGAGGGAGAATTGTGAACGGTTTGGATCTGGAACGCTCACCTGAGCGGTTTTAAGCCGTTTGGAGATTCTCCTGCAGTGCCGTCCCGCAGCAGAGAGGAGAGATTTGCTTAAAGCTCATAATTCTCTTTGATGTTCTAGAATTCGCAGAAACGAATTTCACAGAATTTACCAAACGATGTTGATAGTAAACATACACGCCCCAAACCCTACAAGAGGTTGTTTTTTGGAAGCAGTTTAGAAAACTTGATATGTATGTGTGCGTTCACCGATAAATATGAAAAATATGCTCTTGCAGGCACTTTTCTCAAAGCTGTAGACCGTACAAATATAACATAATTATTTTTATGTCCTTAAAGGTGCAGTAAGCGATTTCTGGAAAATCAACCCACACAAACACACCCCTCCCTTCGTTGCTCCGCCCCCAAAATGCACGAACACACAATGCAAGAGTGCAAGAGTCTCTTTATCATATCAAAATAATGCTTCGCGAAAAATAAAGCGAAGATGACGAATGAACCACAAGGAAAAACAAAAAAGAGCATACAGTACACAAGAGTATATACAAGCAAGAGTTTGTTGTAAGTCGTCAGAAACTCCAGACAAACAATGACACTCGAAACTGTCCTGTTACTAAAGCTAACAATAGCAGCATATCTTGGTTCTGTGAAACAGAAAAAACAATGTTCCATTCCTACTGCCCATTGCACGCACACACACACACTCTGGTACTTCACCATATCTGCGCTAAACTCACCTCTTTCAGTAAACAGCAGATGAAATTAGCATCTCATTTGCATAACAGCGACTGTCTTAAAAAGATCAGATTAACTGCATTACATCAGAGGAAGCACAGGAGACACACACACACACTTAACAGCATTTTGCTCTCCAATGAAAAAAACATGTTGGATGAAGGAATCTCACCCTGCTTCATCTGTGCATCTGACGGGTGGGCTGATGTAATTCTTTGCCATGTTTTTGTTTTGTGTTCCTGTTAAATTGCTCTTTTACTTTGCGTCAGCTCACAGTTCTGGATACACCCCCCCACCACCACCACCACCACCAACACGCACACACACACACACACACACACTCTGCCCAGTGTTAATGGATTTGCATATGGAATTTCCATTTTAATTTAATTTAATATGCATGGCATAATTACTGCAGTTTATTAATTTTGCTTGTTTATTTATTTACATCCCTTAGTATCCAGAACGATGCATTGCAAAGGTGGAAAAAAGGTCTTTCCTTCCTGCATCTTCTATTTTTAAATTATTATTTACATTTTCTTAGTTATTTATTTTTATTTAAAACAAAATATTTACCTTTTTTTCTTTTGATGAATTTATTTTAAATAGAAATATTTTGAAACAAATGTATTTTCTGTCACTTTTGATCAATTTAATACGTCCTTGCTGAATAAAAATATAAATTTCTTTTTTTTAAAAATTCGAACATGAACTGTTTGAACAGGCTGTTTTTGCTACTGTACTTTTAAAAAATATACATTTCGCTTTTTTAATAATGAGTAAAAAAATTTGACAGGTAATTTACACAATTTTTTGTTCCTGAAATGCATAAATGTTTCTTTTTTTCGTACGCTTGCGCTAACAGGAAGAAGAACTGCGAAAGAGCGGAGAGGCGAAGTATAATCACCTTAACGAAGATCTTCACGTGCTGATCGAGGTGTTCGCTCCCCCCGCCGAAGCGTACGCGAGAATGGGTCACGCTCTGGAGGAGATCAAAAAATTCCTAATCCCGGTACGTTTGCACACAGGTGTGAGTGCGATCTGCTGAGCAAAAGCTGAGCATCAGCATGTTTGCTGTTACCTAATTGTAGTGTTTATTACCTTGAGACCAAAAATACATATTCACTTATTTTTACCAGGTACATTTTGTCTAAGGAGGCCTGGTGTCCACAGGACCGTTTTTTTTTTGTTTGTTTGTTTTTTGCTGAAAATCCTATTTTAGTTAGAACAAATATGTACACGTGTGTGCGCAGTATTGACTTTATGTGTATAACATCCCACAGTCGCATCTGTTATGCTAATGAAAAGCTATATTAAATGCTACTATTTATATGCAGAATTCTTCCTCTTGGGGAAAAACACATGTTGGTGCATGTTTGGGGTCGCAGGGGGGCGTATATTTCCCCTTGAAAATCAAGTGGACCATTATTGCACGTTCCAGCTCATTAACTAGTGCCCATATGTGTGTGTGTGTGTTGTACAGGACTATAATGATGAGATCAGACAGGCTCAGCTACAGGAGCTGACGTATCTGAACGGCGGCTCGGAGGACGCCAAAGTCCCGGCTGCGAGAGGCAAAACCAGCACACGAGCCAGAGGAACACCAGCGCCGGGACCGCTCAGGTTTGATTGTACTTGCTGTGATCACTAGCTATGTTCCCATCCACCTATTTTTATGCACATTTTGGGTAAATGCATAAAAACACTGAATGGAATCTCCAAGATTTTGCATAATTTGCACAATTTGCATAAAAAACGAATGCGCTCAAATGAGGTGGATACGTTTATCCGATAAGAAGACATGCGCATAAACTACAATGGAAACCCATTTAAAGCAAAAAACTCACATGACTTTCCCTTAACAGAGAATGTGATTGGATAACTGAACAAACCAGTGGGCCAATTTCATCACACAGCATTTGAAATGTTTGGTCGTTCTGAAATGCCTGAGCCAAAGTTTGTCATCAGAATGACTTGGTTTAATTCCCTCCCAGAAGCATCACATGATTGCAAACACCAGGCGCCCGAACGCGGGATAACATGACAGCGTTTATTGCGTTTCGTCTGCGCAATGATCATTTATGTCACTTATGATGAAGGAAGAAAGATAATGGCAGCAACTTCCATTTTTAATACAGATATTTTGTGCCAATTTCCCATTCTGTTCTCTTAAACACATTGGATGGAAATGGTGCTTTATTTGCAAATGTTTTATGCAATATTCCAATCCTGCACATAAGTTAAATCCGCAAGTTTGGATGAAAACATAGCTACTGAGAACATTTACGCCATACACAACTGTGAAACGCCAGAAAAACGTGTAAATAAGGCAAATTAACTCCTTAATATCACCTTCTCTGTACATTCGATTTTTCTCTGCTGTTTATTGAGCAAAGAATTTTAAACTCCACTGAGAGTTTAATGCGGCATAACTGGCAGATTTATTCTCACACGGACTGACACTAATGTCATTACCTCAAATCATTCTCATTTTCATCATAGTTGGAGAGGAAAATTCAATAAAACCATTAAAGCAATCTTCCATTAGAGCAGTGGTTTCCAAACTTTTCAAACCTCCTGAGGCGTTTAACATCCTTCTGCGCACCTCCTCTTTTCCTCTTACACTGCACTCCCACCTTTTTCATTAAGGGACTATATTTGCCCCTTTAAATTGATTTTTCAGGTGCGTTTTTTAAAACTATTTCCCCTCCAGTGTATTTAAAAAAAAGTTGCCAGCTGATGCCAGCATTTTTGATCCTTTTCACAAAGGTTTCATGGCCCTCACAATATTTTGTTGCATGAATATCTGAACATGCAATACAGCAAAAGAAAGAACCGAGACACTGCTTTTAAACAAAAAACTTGTTTTATTCTAGCTTCATGCATTCTTTTTTTTATTAACACTTGAATGTGGGTAAGTTTCCGAAAAAAAAGCATCATTTTGAGCAAAACCCTGTTTTTGTCAAAGACTACATCTGGATCAGATTCAGAACGATGATCAAAACACAGATGGAGATCGAGTTCATCCACACCCCTAAAGGCCTGTTCACACCGGGACGACGTTTAACGCCTCGTGACTAAACAAAGGGCGCCAATGTGAGTGTGCACACCGACACGAAAAACGCCACGCGTAAAAGCGTCATTTTATAAAAAACGCCTCGGGTTCGTTTTTTTAGTTTGACGCGCCGCGTCAAAAACTATCGACCAATGAGATTGGCGGTTTTGCTCACGTGTCTGGAGCTTCTGAAGTTACAGTAAAACAGAACTTGGGGGCGCTCAAACACTTGCCGAGCACACATACGTAACGGCGAAGAAGATATACGGCAAGTAGCGTCTACACTGAGATAATAAGAATAAGAAATAAGACGAGGAAGATGCAAGGCAAGATGAATGTAGAGCTGCTGGTCTCGTTGGTGTCGGAACATAAAGAACTATATGACAAACGCGACAGCGACTACACAAATCTTGATAAAAGAGAACTGTGTGGAGTGGTATTGCAGAGCAAATGGGCGCCATCTAATGTCAGGGAATGAATTCGCATGTTCACTCGGCTCATCGTCAGCGAAAATCGCTTGGGTGTGAACACAAAAAACGCGTTGAAAAACGCTGGCGAATAACGCGCGCCGATATTCGTCCCGGTGTGTACGAGCCTTAAAGGAGTAGTTTACTTTTTAAAAAACTTTTGCTGATAATTTACTCACCCCCATGTCATCCAAGATGTCCATGTCTTTCTTTCTTCAGTTGAAAAGAAATTAATGTTTTTGATGAAAACATTCCAGGATTTTTCTCCATATAATGGACTTCAATTCTAGCCAAACGGTTCAAGGTCTAAATGACCGTTTCAGTGCAGCTTCAAAGGGCTTTAAACGATACCAGACGATGAATAAGGGTCTTATCTAGAGAAACGATCGGTCATTTCAAAAATAAATAAAAAAGTTAAAGTTTTATATGGTAAATGGTAAATGGACTGCATTTATATAGCGCTTTCACAGACCCAATGGCCACCAAAGCGCTTTACAATTTGCCTCACATTCACCCATTCACTCACTCATTCATACACCGACGGGCGACGGCAGCCATGCAAGGCGCCATCCAGCTCGTCGGGAGCAGCTGGGGTTAGGTGTCTTGCTCATGGACACCTCGACACTTGGTCAGGTGGAACCGAGGATTGAACCACCAACCTTCCGGTTTGTAGACAACCAACATGAACCACTGAGCCACTGTGTATAGGCACAAATGCTCGCCTTGCGAACTCTCCTGTTCGAACTCTCCTGTTCCTGTTCGAAATCTTTTTCCGAGTCATTGACTCATTCATCAAAATGAACGAATCTTTTTTCGAGTCATTGACTCGAAAAAAGATTCGTTCATTTTGATGAACGAGTTCGAACCGGAGAGTTCGCAAGGCGAGCATTTGTGCCTATAAAACTTTAACTTTTTTATTTATTTTTTAAATGACCGATCGTTTCTCTAGATAAGACCCTTATTCATCGTCTGGTATCGTTTAAAGTCCTTTGAAGCTGCACTGAAACGGTCATTTAGACCTTGAACCGTTTGGCTACTATTGAAGTCCATTATATGGAGAAAAATCCTGGAATGTTTTCATCAAAAACATTAATTTCTTTTCGACTGAAGAAAGAAAGACATGGACATCTTGGATGACATGGGGGTGAGTAAATTATCAGCAAAAGTTTTTTTTAAAGTGAACTAATCCTTTAATGCAGGGGTCTCAAACTCAACTTAACTGGGGGCCGATGGAGGTAGAGTCGGGGTCAGGCTGGGCCGCATCAAGTATTCCACAAAAAATAGTATTCAAGTATTCCAAAAAAGGAGCACAACTGATCCAATCTTCTCAATATTTATTATTAACGTTTCTTCTGAACTGTTCCTCTGAATTTGAACATTCCTTTCTGTACATGATTGGTTCTTCATGAGCTGTCCTTCTGACAGTTGAAGTTCATTTTACAAACTTTCTTAACACATATTTGTGATATTTATATTTGCTTATGTCCTTTTTATTTTCTTTATACAACACATTAATGATATTGAATGTTTTTTTTGGAAGGCACATTTCCTTTTATTATACTTAGAAAAACAATTATTGCTTTTGAAATACAAATATTTGCAGTCATGTCTGCCCGTCTTTGAATTCTTTCTACACATGTATAGTGTCTCAAATTACTGACTGCACAAATCAAAGCAAACCTTCTTATCAACCTGTTGGACACATATTACAAGCTCAAAATGATTATTCTCACATTGTTTTAGAGCAGGCCAGGGTCTCTCTCCAACACGTCGCTCGCGAGCTATCAGTAGCTCGTGGCCTGATTGGTGGTAGCTCGCCAAGGGGCCTGTTCACATATCGCGCTCACATATTTTGCGCGCTCAAGTTCGTTATTTCAAATGTAGGCGCGCGGCAAGCGCGCTCATAATTGAAGCGACGCGCACGCGCTCATTTTTTCCAGGCGCAGTGTGTTTGTACTTCGCGGTTGTCTATGACAACTATTGACAACAAACTCACCGTAAGCTGTCACGAGACTATCTATGGTAGCCCATAATAAGGGATACATTTTTTTTTTTTTTTTTTTTTTTTAACGCGGCACACGCAACGACGGGCCGCACTAACATTAAACTTTAATGTCAAGTAGGGGGCCACAAAATATCACCCCGCGGGCCGCAAATGGCCCGCGGGCCGCGAGTTTGAGCCCTCTGCTTTAATGCTTCACAGTCCTACAGCTCGTCCTGGGTCGACATTTCATTCGGTAACATTAGGCAGTTTTGATTGATATGCTGTTTAATGTTGATGTTCGCGTTATTTTACATATGCATCTGCTTACATATGCTATCACTTGTTTCTGCTTCTTCTTCGCCTGTGTTTTGATTCTGTACTCTTTCAGAAGATGCATAATAGCGCCCCCTACATTTTAACAGGGAAAACACGGAAAGCCAGAAATTTCCGTTCATGGCGGTGAAGCGTTGTCTCATAAACGAGTAAAGTGTCCGTCAGTGGCGGGGAAAGAGTTAATAACTCTTCAATGCTGCTCAGAGGTGGTGTGAATGCAATTACAATGGCATAAATAATGTTATGAGATAATGTTTTAAATAAAAAAAATGTTCAATAGAGACGTTAAGTGATGGTAAAAACGCAGTGATACTTTTAAACATTAAACTAAAACTGCAAGTAATTGGTGAAAAGTCTTAATGTCATTCATTCAGTAATGAAGCAAGTGGCTGTATTTATGAATGGATCATTGAATCATTAACTCCTGATTCGTTCAATTTTGCAGATTCATTCACTAACGAAACACCGCTATGTGTTGCTTGGAGACGCACAACAGTCAGTCAGCTGTGGCTTTCGTTGGGATTATTACTTCGTTGCAAAATAGAGCAAACAATATGATAGAAATGCCTCATTCATTCATTCAATATTGACAATACTGTGTTTAAAATGCACATCATTTAATATGACTTTTTTGCTTGTTGAACTGTTGTATTTATTTAGTGTCACATTTGCAATTGTGAGGATATTCGGGGAAAAATTGCATTCTTGCGCGTATAATATATTATCAACATTAAAAACAAAAACTCACACAGGGTATGTTTTATAGCAAAGAGAGTTTGAGTCTAAAATCGATCTCTATGCACTAAATGTGTTCTTCATGCAAGTGCTAAATCCTCACATATGTACATTGTCGAGAACTAATGTAGCAAAAAATTTTTTTTTATCATTTTATGCTCACCAAAGCTGCATTTATTTGATCAAAAATAAATATTTGATCATTAAAAACAGCAATATTGTGAAATATTAATGCCATTAAAAAAACTGCTTTCTATATAATATTTTAATATTATTTTTAAATGTAATTTATTTCCTGTGATGGCAAAGCTCCAGTCTTCAGAGTCACAGAAAGTTCAACTCAGCATTTATTTGAAATGTAATTTTATTTTGTAAAACTGCCAAAGGCTTTACTGTCATGTTTGATCAATTTAACACCTCCTTGCTGAATAAAAGTATTAATTCCTTTTTTTTAAATTCAACAAAATAAAGTCCCCAAACTATTGAACGGCAGTGTGCACAATAGACAAAAATGTAGACAGTCATCAAAAGTCATCAAAACTGTGGAATTATGGGAATTACATAGGGACAAGCAAAATGTTAAATATATACTTTAGCTTCTACTTAGTTTTGTCTATAAAACTAATTCAAACATTTAAGCACATATTGTAGTTGAAACGTCTTTTTTATTTTTTTGAAACCACCAATTCAGTCCATTTTTGTAAAAAAATGTCAAATGTATATGAATTTTTTTAGGCTTTTTTTTTTTACACTATTTTGTTCATTATTGTTCCTGTTGTAATGTTTCACACAGGCCTATGATTCTTGCAAAAAAAATTTAATTGATTGACATATGAAATTTCATTGCTGTATATTGAGCTGAGGTGTTTGTCCCGCAGGAGTAGAGGGGGGGTTCCTCCGCCTCAGGCTGCAGTTCCCCGGGGGGTGGCGCCCAGAGGAGCTCCGCCCAGCAGGGTCCCGTCCAGCAGAGGGAGGGGGGTTCCCTCACAGAGAGCACGAGGAGCTCCGCCCCCACCTGGGTACAGACCTCCTCCTCCAACCGTGCAGGATGCCTACGGTGAATACGTAAGTAACTGTAACATCCATTACTACAGTACAGACGTCACTCTCCTCAGGGACTCTGACAAAGGGTATATAGTATGCACAGTCAGAATGGTGGCCAGATGAGCTACTATTTCTGCTGGACTTTTGGAATATGCATTGATGTATGCTTTTAAAGCTACACGTTTTACCATACAATTGAATTTCTGATTTTCATTACACTGTAAAAAAAGTTGCTGCCTTAAATTCTTTAAGTCATTTCAACTTAAATTACATTAAACTGACTTAAAACAATTAGTTGAATCTTGTATAACTTATAAAAAAAGTTAAAAATTGCCTAACTTATTATGATGAGTTTTGATAAGCAATGTAAAAACATGTTGTCATAACTTATTGATCATATATTTTTTTTACAGTCTAATTCATACATAATTGTGTACTTTACCATCAACTGTGCAGATCTACGCACTTTAAGATTCTACCATAGTCTTTTGCCAGTGTTATTTTATTATCATTTTTTATAGTATTGTATTTATTAATGCTTTTGAGCATTTTCATTTCAATTGTAAGTTTTACTAATTTTGTTATGTGCCTTTGTCATATATATATATATATATATATATATATATATATATATATATATATATGTATAGGGTTTAATTTATTTTTATTTCAGTTTACTTGTTATAATTTTAGTACTTTTTATTTAACATTTTATTTAGGGTTAGTTGCCAATGTAACATTTAAAGTTTTTAATTTTTAATAAGTTTGTCATCTGATATTTATTTTTTATTTTATTTCTGATTTATTAAAATTAACAAAAGTGATTTGTAATAATTTTAGTTTTTATGAACAATAACTGCAATTAATGTAAACTTGTATATGGAATTGTTTTTGTGAAAACAAAAATTCTTACTCTATTTGTGCCATTACAGTCATTTTAGTCCTCTGTCTAGACAGAAAGTGTTATCTATATGCCTATAATAGTTTGTGTTTTATTGTTGACATTTCTCATATCGATAAATTATATCAAACAAACTCAATAGCTCGCCAAAGCTCTCACAGAAATGAATGTTTTCCGACACGGATCTAATTTGTCAGTCGTAATAGAAGAGTTCATGATGCCGCCGTCTACCGGAGACATCCTAAATCATTTCATCTGCTTGATTTACTTGTTTTTGTTTGCGATTATGTGGAAAAAATGGTCATACAGTATTTGCTCCTGACACCATTGTAGATTTCCTCTGCTTTGAGTTTTAATTTATCAGAGAGAGTTGCAAAATAACCAGTTCAAATACATTGGAGCTTTCGCCAGCCCCTCTTGATGTTGCACGACGTCTCAGAGGTCTCCTGGCTCGCGTGTGGCATATTTAACAGATGGTGGGCCCGGAGAGGTGGGTGGAGTTGGCACACCGCCCTGCAGTGCCCGTATCTAACCGCATCTGACAGGTTTATTTAGGGGGCGCCGTTCGAATGCGCTGGGGTCAGAGGAAACGACTCAGTCGCCAGCTGTTCTCTATCGTTTCGACGGCCTCGAAACACGCGTCTGTGCAGGAGCCGGAAACACTGGGAACGATTCAAACATCTGTGGGATGATAAATCTGAAGCTGTCGCTCTGAATCAGTGTTTAGATGTTCCTCGTCAGGAGCGAACTGGAAAAAAAGATCTTTTGACTGTCCTGAGAGTCATGAGAAATGAACAAGACATCTTTGTAGAGGAATAGTGATGGATAAATGAAAAGGCTGTCATTGGTCTCTCACCTTCATGCCATTCCAAACAATTATGGTCCTATTTTTTTAGTGGACTAGAAAAGGAGACATTGAAGGATTTTGGGGCAACTGTATATTTGTACAATGACAGAAATCAGATTTTACAAGAATCTGTAGTTGTATGGACTATTTTAATAGTGCGTGTTTGTCCTTTTTGTTGCTTGATAGACGTGTTTAGGGTGAAATGTCATTGTATGTAAAATAAATGCAAAATGTGTTCCATGGGAATGGGGTTTGGAACAAAATAACTATCCCTTTAAGAAGATTTCTTAATCTGTTGGTGTTGTATTGAGAAGCCTCCATGTTTTTATGTAGGCCTAAGCTTTGGCTGTGTTGATCACATTGTGCTCATGGTGTTGTCATTGGTTTTCATGTATCTATTGTGACAGCTTTAGACTCAAGAGTGTCTTTTTGCACCCATATTGTTGGAAATGACATCAGTGTTTTGGGGTTGAACAGAAGAGTGTGTCTTGAAGATTTTACAATATGATACAATTTTTGTTGGCTTTCAAAATGCCACTTTATACTATTTATTCTTCAACATTCATTCTTCATCTCTTGCATTTCCAAATGTAGGCCTATTTATGCCACTTAATAAAAATTTGAGAAGGAAATATATTAAGTTTATTCAATATATAATAAAATATACAGGCCTACACTGCCTGGCCAAAAAAGCCACTCTTTGGATTTAAATAGGCAAATGCTTAAAGGGATACTCCACTTTTTTTGGAAATAGGCTCATTTTACAACTCCCCCAGAGTTAAACTGTTGAGTTTTACCGTTTTTGAATTCATTCAGCCGATCTCCGGTTCTGGCGGTACCACTTTTAGCATAGCTTACCATACATCATTGAAGTGGACAAGACCATTAGCATTTCTAAAAAAAAAAATGACCAAAGAGTTTCGATATTTTTCCTATTTAAAACTTGACTCTTCTGTAGTTACATTGTGCACTAAGGCCGACGGAAAATGTAAAGTTGCGATTTTCTAGGCTGATATGGCTAGGAACTATACTCTCATTCCTGCGTAATAATCAAGAAACTTTACTGCCGTACCATGAGTGCAGCAGGCGTAATGATATGACGCAGCGCCTGAAAATAGGCCACCTTCCGTCAACACAACGGAACTATTTTCAGGCGCTGCGTCATATCATTACGCCTGCTGCACTCATGGAACTAACCCTTTAAAGGGATACTCCACCCAAAAATGAAAATTCTGTCATCATTTACTCACCCTCAAGTTGTTGCAAACCTGTATGAGTTTCTTTCTTCTGATGAACACAAAGGAAGATATTTTGAAGAACGATTGGAACTTTGGCACCATTGACTTCCATAGTCTTTTTTTTTTTTCTACTATGGAAGTCAATGGTGCCAAACAACTGTTTGGTTCCAATCGTTCTTCAAAATATCTTCCTTTGTGTTCAACAGAAGAAATAAACTCTGGAACAACTTGAGGGTGTAAATGATGACAGAATTTTCATTTTTTGGTGGAGTATCCCTTTAAGAGCCTATGATTGGATGATTATTGCAGGGATTATTATGTTTCTAGCATGTGATATGTTTGGCAACAGTTCTTCTAACCCTAATTGATGAAGTGTGTGGCTTTAAATTTCTTAAACAACCATTTAGGAAGACATCATGACCATATTCCAGCCTTCATCAGGCTCAAACTGTGAAAGAATGGTTGTGAAGGAGCATGAAGAATCATTTTCACACATGAATAGGCACACATGAGTCCAGACCTTCATTTGAAGTCTTTGGGATGTGCTGGAGGAGACTTTACAGAGTGCTGGACTCTTGCATTGTCAATACAAGATCTTGACCAAACATGTTTGCACATCTTGATGGATATAACATCACAACATTTATTTCAATCAAGGTGCATCAATTTTGGTCAAGATCTTGTATTGACAATGCAAAATCTCAAAAATCTTTCTAAACCCCAAACTTTTGAAAGACTGTTTCAAAACATTTTTTTTGTGATTTATTTTAATACTATAAATGGCTAAACCGAATATTTTATTTTCAGTATTTTTATGAACTACCGGTAATTTTCAAATGACTAAATTCTTAATTCTTACTAATTACTAAACTCTTAACCCTCATGTTAATGTTTATTAATTTTAAATTTCTCAACTGATTTATTTATTTCTCTATTGATTATTGAGTGACACATTTGAGTCCCCATATACTTTATCTCTTTTCTTTTCATTTTCCCCAAATTTGACTTTTTGACTTCTTACCTTGCAGTTTGTGTTTTCATCTCCACCTTATGTGGCATCCCATCAGCCAATCACATCTAATCTTACCATTCATATTTACAGGGATTACCAAGTCATATCCGCTCTCAGCATCTGGGTTTTTCACGAATCATCTAATCACATTCGCTTTCCCAAGTCTGGAAAGAAAAGATACATCACATCAAACGCCTGCATGATTAATCCATCTGACCCAAACGTGGTCACACATCTTTATCTCTATCAGGCTCTGAGAATGAACTGAGGTCAGCATGAACACGTCTCTTATGCGATTTGAAATTATTTTGATCAGGTGGATATGTGTGAGTCATTAATATGAAGTCATTTCATCGGCTGTTTGTTTCCTCTCAGGGGCCGCTCTGATACCCGAGTCACTCTCTGCGGAGGGTTGCAATAATACCATTATGGCATGTATTATCCCAGTCTGTATCTCAGAACCTCTGTTTCCACAATCAAAACCGCTTGTCACTTTGGTTTAGCCTCATAATTACTGAGCCGGTTGAGATACCATCTCTCCTTTGGTCGAGTGCTGAAATTACTTCCATTGTCACCAGTGTTGTGTTATGAATGCCTGTGTCCAGCATGATGTTTCTCGAACCAACACAAATCATGGGTTTGTTTCATAACAACATGGCGAGACATATGGGTTCGCCTCTGGGCTCCTCGGATTCCTCTGTTGAGCCGTTTCATTCTGTCCACGGCAGTTTTTGTCACGCTGTAGTACTTTAGTGACCAATGTGAGAGTTGCTATTGAGTTAGTGACGACACTTCAAAACATATTCCTGAGCCTCGGGTCTTCAGCTTTAAAAGTCTCTGTTTTTAGTAGGTGTTTGACACTTTTTGTTGAAAGTTTGGTAGTGTGAAGGGAAAGTCAAAGGAAGTCAAGATCCGATTAGGTTTTGAATCAGAGTGACAATCTGATTCTTGATGCATCTACATTTTTTAAGCTGCAGTGTAAAGACACAAATCTTCTTTGACAAGGTAATACGAGAGGAGGAG